GTGTACTCATAGTCAACAAATGATGTACAGTGTTGGGTGTACTCGTAGTCAACACATGATGTACAGTGTTGGGTGTACTCGTAGTCAACACATGATGTAGAGTGTTGGGTGTACTCGTAGTCAACACAATGATGTACAGTGTTGGGTGCACTCATAGTCAACACATGATGTACAGTGTTGGGTGTACCCGTAGTCAACACATGATGCACAGTGTTGGGTGCACTCATAGTCAACACATGATGTACAGTGTTGGGTGTACTCGTAGTCAACACATGATGTAGAGTGTTGGGTGTACCTGTAGTCCACACATGATGTAGAGTGTTGAGTGTACTCATAGTCAATACATGATGTACAGTGTTGGGTGCACTCGTAGTCAACACATGATGTACAGTGTTGGGTGTACTCGTAGTCAACACATGATGTACAGTGTTGGGTGTACCCGTAGTCAACACATGATGTAGAGCTTTGAGTGTACTCGTAGTCAATACATGATGTACAGTGTTGGGTGTACTCGTAGTCAACACATGATGTACAGTGTTGGGTGTACTCGTAGTCAATACATGATGTACAGTGTTGGGTGTCCTCGTAGTCAACACATGATGTACAGTGTTGGATTTGCTCGTAGTCAACACATGATGTACAGTGTTGGGTGTACTCGCAGTCAACACATGATGTACAGTGTTGGATGTACTCGTAGTCAACACATGATGTACAGTGTTGGATGCGCTCGTAGTCAACACATGATGTACAGTGTTGGGTGTACTCGTAGTCAACACATGATGTACAGTGTTGGGTGTACTCGTAGTCAATACATGATGTACAGTGTTGGGTGTACTCGTAGTCAACACATGATGTACAGTGTTGGATTTGCTCGTAGTCAACACATGATGTACAGTGTTGGGTGTACTCGCAGTCAACACATGATGTACAGTGTTGGATGTACTCGTAGTCAACACATGATGTACAGTGTTGGATGTGCTCGTAGTCAACACATGATGTACAGTGTTGGGTGTACTCGTAGTCAACACATGATGTACAGTGTTGGGTGTACTCGTAGTCAACACTCCCCCCCCCCCCCCCCTCCCGCTGATCAACGTTCAGTCCTTTGTTGGTATTTGGCCCTGCGTAAGTACCGGCACCAGTGCCAGCAGCACATGTGCATGCATCATCAATATACCCTACATCAACCATATCAGCATAACCATTAACATATCCAGTAACCATCAACATAACTACCAACATATTAACAAAATATATTTAATACAGACAAGACCGCCAGCATCATTATAAGTAAATTTCGTATGATTACCTGCACATGTCACGAACACATGATGTTCAGGGATTTGCTGTACTCATAAATGACACTCCATGCACAGAGTTCGGTGTGCTCGTATTCAACACATGATGTACAGTGTTGGGTGTACTCGTAGTCAACACATGATGTACAGTGTTGGGTGTACTCATAGTCAACACATGATGTACAGTGTTGGGTGTAATCGTAGTCAACACATGATGTACAGTGTTGGGTGTACTCGTAGCCAACACATGATGTACAGTGTTGGGTGTACTCGTAGTCAACACATGATGTACAGTGTTGGGTGTACTCGTAGTCAACACATGATGTACAGTGTTGGGTGTACTCGTAGTCAACACATGATGTACAGTGTTGGGTGTACTCGTAGCCAACACATGATGTACAGTGTTGGGTGTACTCGTAGCCAACACATGATGTACAGTGTTGGGTGTACTCGTAGTCAACACATGATGTACAGTGTGGGGCGTACTCGTAGCCAACACATGATGTACAGTGTTGGATGTACTCGTAGTCAACACATGATGTACAGTGTCTGGTCACATGGTCAACACATGATGTATAGTGTTTGGTTTGTGTTGTTGTACTTACATAATGGCGATGCAGTCCACTTTTCTTTTATAGATTAGCGCATCAGTCTGCAGAGTAAAACAGAACACACATGCATAACAAACAAGCCATGGTCGGAATAGAAATCTTCATATCTCATGTGTATGTCATGATAGAGCATGGGCCATGCAAACTGTGATGTCTTAGCGCTGTAACTCCCCCCCCCCCCTCCCGCTGATCAACGTTCAGTTCATTGTTGGTATTTGGCCCTGCGTAAGTACCGGCACCAGTGCCAGCAGCACATGTGCATGCATCATCAATATACCCTACATCAACCATATCAGCATAACCATTAACATAACCACCAACATATTAACAAAATATATTTAATACAGACAAGACCGCCAGCATCATTATAAGTAAATTTCGTATGATTACCTGCACATGTCACGAACACATGATGTTCAGGGATTTGCTGTACTCATAAATGACACTCCATGCACAGAGTTCGGTGTGCTCGTATTCAACACATGATGTACAGTGTTGGGTGTACTCGTAGTCAACACATGATGTACAGTGTTGGGTGTACTCGTAGTCAACACTTGATGTACAGTGTTGGGTGTACTCATAGTCAACACATGATGTACAGTGTTGGGTGTACTCGTAGTCAAAACATGACGTACAGTGTTGGGTGTACTCGTAGTCAACACATGATGTACAGTGTTGGGTGTACTCGTAGTCAACACATGATGTACAGTGTTGGGTGTACTCGTAGTCAATACATGATGTACAGTGTTGGGTGTACTCGTAGCCAACACATGATGTACAGTGTTGGGTGAACTCGTAGTCAACACATGATGTACAGTGTTGGGTGTAATCGTAGTCAACACATGATGTACAGTGTTGGGTGTAATCGTAGTCAACACATGATGTACAGTGTTGGGTGTACTCGTAGTCAACACATGATGTACAGTGTTGGGTGTATTCGTAGTCAACACATGATGTACAGTGTTGGGTGTACTCGTAGTCAATACATGATGTACAGTGTTGGGTGTACTCGTAGTCAAAACATGATGTACAGTGTTGGGTGTACTTGGAGTCAACACATGATGTACAGTGTTGGGTGTACTCGTAGTCAACACATGATGTACAGTGTTGGGTGTACTTGTAGTCAACACATGATGTACAGTGTTGGGTGTACTCGTAGCCAACACATGATGTACAGTGTTGGGTGTACTCGTAGTCAACACATGATGTACAGTGTTCGGTTTACTCATAATCAACACATGATGTACAGTGTTGGGTGTGCTCGTAGTCAACACATGATGTACAGTGTTGGGTGTACTCGTAGTCAACACATGATGTACAGTGTTGGGTGTACTCGTAGTCAACACATGATGTACAGTGTTGGGTGTATTCGTAGTCAACACATGATGTACAGTGTTGGGTGTACTCGTAGTCAATACATGATGTACAGTGTTGGGTGTACTCGTAGTCAAAACATGATGTACAGTGTTGGGTGTACTTGGAGTCAACACATGATGTACAGTGTTGGGTGTACTCGTAGTCAACACATGATGTACAGTGTTGGGTGTACTCATAGTCAACACATGATGTACAGTGTTGGGTGTACTCGTAGTCAACACATGATGTACAATGTTGGGTGTACTCGTAGACAACACATGATGTACAGTGTTGGGTGTACTCGTAGTCAACACATGATGTACAGTGTTGGGTGTAGTCGTAGTCAACACATGATGTACAGTGTTGGGTGTACTCGTAGTCAACACATGATGTATAGTGTTGGGTGTACTCGTAGTCAACACATGATGTACAATGTTGGGTGTACTCGTAGACAACACATGATGTACAGTGTTGGGTGTACTCGTAGTCAACACATGATGTACAGTGTTGGGTGTAGTCGTAGACAACACATGATGTACAGTGTTGGGTGTACTCGTAGTGAACACATGATGTACAGTGTTGGGTGTACTCGTAGTCAACACATGATGTACAGTGTTGGGTGTACTCGTAGTCAACACATGATGTACAGTGTTGGGTGTACTCGTAGTCAACACATGATGTACAATGTTGGGTGTACTCGTAGACAACACATGATGTACAGTGTTGGGTGTACTCGTAGTGAACACATGATGTACAGTGTTGGGTGTACTCGTAGTCAACACATGATGTACAGTGTTGGGTGTACTCGTAGTCAACACATGATGTACAATGTTGGGTGTACTCGTAGACAACACATGATGTACAGTGTTGGGTGTACTCGTAGTCAACACATGATGTACAGTGTTGGGTGTAGTCGTAGTCAACACATGATGTACAGTGTTGGGTGTACTCGTAGTCAACACATGATGTATAGTGTTGGATGTACTCGTAGTCAATACATGATGTACAGTGTTGGGTATACTCGTAGTTAACACATGATGTACAGTGTTGGGTGTACTCGTAGTCACCACATTATGTGCAGTGTTGGATGTGTCATGACCCGGACTCGACTCGTCGTGAAAGCGACCACGCAATGAGATTCAGCAGCCAAAAGCTGGGCTCCGAAATATTCTAGAGTTCTGTAAGAACCATGATTAGTCCTGCGAAGGATTTGGCACTTTCGCTAGTTGAGCAATCATGGCTTACAACTCGTGGCCTCGAGTCACAAGTGTTGTCGTACGGCGGCTACACCTTCAGTACAAGTCGTCAGCATTGTACTCACTACACTGTTGAGCTTGAGGGGACCCTGCTTAGTCCTGCAAGGGAGCTGATACCTTTGTTAGTCGAGCAAGCATGGCACCTCTTCTCGCGTCGTACGACGTAAAGGGTCCTGCAAGTGCTTCCCGCACTGCGGACTCCGTTATCCCTTTTTGGGAGAGGTCGCGGCTTGACCGTGAAGCGCCCTTCGGGGTAATGAGAGGGAAGAGCCTACGGGGCAGAAGATGAAGGGTGACCCAATCAAGACACCGTACGAAGGCGGCGCGCTCTAGCTGCAGCAACATCCGACAGCGTACTCCAGGCTCCGTCGCATGATCGACGTAAAGAATTTTGTAACACTATCATGTAATGTGGGTGAGCGAGCTCCCCGAAGCTATACTAATATTTCCTACTAATTATTATATCACAATTATACTAGACAAGAACTGGCGGCCCGCAATTTAGACACGACGGGGACCAAACCCAGGCTGTTGACTCGCCTGCTCGAGTCATTGGAGTTCACTGCAGTGCGCGAGGACTTGGCCACTCAGGCAGCCGAGCAGAACCTACCCCAGGCAACTGCTGCTCCGTCCCTGAGGGACATTATCCGGGAGGAGGTCCGTGCTGCCCTTGGAAATCATGCCGCAGCTCCAGTCCCGCCGGCAGCTCACACAGCGGCACCCCCACCGCCAGCCCACGCAGCGGCACTCCCACGGCAAGCACCAGCAACTCCGCAGGACGCTCTGCCTGCTCCGCATTTGGCGGCTGCCGTCTCACCGCCAATGAACCCCGCAGGTAAGAGAACGTTTTATGCAACCGTGCCGAAAGCCATTCACGATAAAGTAGTAACTGGCCAATTTGTTGAATTGGGCTCATTGTTGCCTAACCCGTCCCAAGGGGACACTAGCCGCAGCATTCTTCAGATCGACCACGGCAGCTCGCACGGCGCAGTGGTCCTAGCACCGGCCAACAGGCCCTCCAGGAAGGTCGAGGACATCGACACCTGGCTCGACGCCTGGACAACATACTGCGCGATTTACGCCACAGCACACCCCCCTTCGTCCCTTTCGGCCCACCGGCAGCAATGACGCTCGTTCCTTTCGGCCCAACAGCAGCAACGACGCTCGTTCCTTTCGGCCCAGCAGCGGCAACGACACGGTCGACAAAGAAGTATGCCGCCTCTTCAACCAAGGAAACTGCGTCCGCTCCAACTGCCGCTTCGCCCACAGCTGCCTCTCTTGCGGCCGCCTTGGTCAAGGCCAATCCACATGCTCTGCTGGCCAACCCCGCAGCTCCAATTAGCTCACACGCGCCCTGGTCCCCTGTAAATATTCCCCTGCTGCTTGAAGAGCTATCCCAGCACCCCGATAACGATTTTGTGCATTCCCTCTGTCACGACATGCGCGTCGGGGCCCGCATTGGCTATCACGGTAATAGATCCCGCCTCATCGCCCCTAATCTCCCTTCCGCATTGCTCAACCCTGCAGCCGTCTCTGCTTACCTTCAGTCTGAATGCACGCGTGGCCACATGGCCGGGCCTTATTCCCAACCCCCATTCCCTAATATCCGATGTTCTGGCGTTGGCATCGAGCCCAAGAAGTCTGGCGGCGTACGCCTCATCATGCATTTATCTGTCCCTAGCGGCTCTAGCATTAACGATGGCATTTACCCTGACGAATTCTCCCTGCATTACGTTACGGTAGATGACGCAATACGCTGCATCTTCCAGCACGGCCCCGGAGCTCTCCTCTCTAAGGTTGACATGAAGCACGCGTTCCGGCTCTGCCCTGTTTCCCCTGACGACTGGCCCATACTTGGCATTTTTTGGGAAGGTTCGTACTATGTCGATAAGGTACTACCATTTGGCAGACTTGCCGACGCTGTGGCATGGATTGCAGTTAATAATTACGATATTGTTGATTTGCTGCATTACCTAGATGATTTCTTTCACGTCCAGCCGCCCAACTCCGCAGCTATGCTCAAATTCAAGACACTGCTGGCTGTATTTGACATGCTGAACATCCCATTGGCCGACGGAGAGGACAAAGTGTGCCCGCCGTTAACTTCAATAACGTTCCTGGGTATCGAGCTCGACACAGCCGCCTGGGAGCTGCGCCTCCCGGCTGCGAAACTGGCGGAACTACGGCTAGCACTTGCCGCGTGGCTGTTGAAGCAGATGTGCACCAAGAGGGAACTGCTGTCCCTGGCCGGTAGCCTGTCTTTCGCAGCCAAAGTCATTCCAGCGGGTCGCACGTTCTGCAGACGCCTGTTCCGCAGCGCAGCAACGCTCCCTAGCCTAGATGCACCGGTAGCCGTACCCTCGGAGGCGAAGCTTGACATCCTGTGGTGGGACGCCTGCATCAGCCAATGGAATGGTCGGAAGCCCCTCATCGAGCCGTCCTGGAGCACAGCCGAAGACATCGGGCTGTACACCGACGCTTCAGGTCGACACGGTTTCGGTCTGGTTTTCGGCAGCAAGTGGTCCTATGGCGCATGGTCTCCTGACCAAGCTGAGCACACTATTGAATGGAAAGAATTCTACGCCGTGATGTTGGCCCTCTGTACCTGGGCACACACGTTGGAGGACAGACGAGTGCTACTCTACACTGACAACGAAGCAATCTGCTACATCTGGCGCTCTGGCACGTCCCCAAATAGAGCGGTCATGGACTTGGTCAGGGCCGGCTTATTGAAAGCCGCCCAGCATAACATTGTCCTCCTGCTTCGCCACATCGCCGGACACTGCAATGATCTTGCTGATTCTCTCTCCCGTCTGCAGGTACGGCGCTTCCGGACCCTCAACCCAACTGCCGACGCAGCGCCTACACCACCAGCGCAGTCCACCCTCCATCAGTTGATGACGCAGCCATGGAGCTCATCCGTCACGGCCTGGCAGACAGCTCCAGCGCGACGTACGCTTCAGTGCAGCGTTCCTACGAACGCTTTGCTGCCCTACGGCAGGTCGCGCCGTACCCGGTGACGGAGCCCAGCCTGATTAACTTTCTGAACTGGAAATTCTCGTCCGGCTCGTCTGGCTCGTCTCTGAAACTCTACACCCAGGCGCTGAGACATCAGCACGTCCTGCAGGGCCTCTGCCTGGATGTTTTCGCCTCACCGCGTGTCCGGCTGCTCCAGCAGGGGCGCTCAGATCCCAGACGGCAGTCCGGAAAGTGCTAACGGCCGCAACTTTGGACGATCTGGCCGGCGTACAGCACTACCTGCAGTCCACCGTGCCTAGCCCGCACAACCGCGCCATGCTCTGGAGCGCCGTGACTCTGGCCTTCCACGGGCTGCTCAGAGTCAACGAGTACACCTTCACGGCACGGGGCGCCGGCCTTGAGTACAGCGATGCGACCATGTACCCAGACCGCGTGGAGCTGCGCCTGCGTGTGACAAAGACGAGCCAATACGGCAGCGGCCAGGACATCAGCGTCAGGAGGACAGGCTCGCCGACTTGCCCGCACACGGCAGCCACCAGCTACCTAGCAGCCCGTGGCTCGGCACCTGGCCCGCTCTATCGCTATGATGACGGCACGCCCCTGAAGCCGCATAACATCAACAGGCTACTACAAACAGCCTTGCCTAACAAAGACGTGCGCAGCCACAGCCTCAGACGAGGCGCTGCAACGCTGGCAGGCAAAGCTGGCGTGCCTGAGTATGTGCTGAAGACCGCCGGCAGGTGGCAAAGCTCTGCCTACCTCCGCTATGTCCGCACCCCTGTGGCAGACAGAGCATTGCCAGCGGAATTGTTCTAGTCTCTGCACGTTATGCTAATGGGTAGCCGCATTGGACGGCCCTAGCAACAGCTGTAGTGTACATACGATATACATATTATACTATAACTATAGTAATGCTACTATAACTATAGTAATGCCGATAATTCCTGTTTGGGTCATGTTGTATTTTTGGGAGAACGGTAGGGATCGTGGGTCAGGCCGGCATTGAGCCAAGTGCGCCTACATGTGCTCACAAGTGCATCCCTACCGTTTGCGTGTATTCACACGCCGGGCAATTGTTGCCCCCATTAGCCCTGGCATTGGCCAGTCTAACGCACATTGGTGCTTGCGATACTACGGCATTGGACCATAGTATTGCATACTGTATGCAGCAATTGTTGCCTATGCCCTGATAATACAACGCGTAATAGCTCCCAAACAGGTCGGCTTGTGTGGTTGTTAAATATAAGTTTCCGTGCATGGCACGGTAAGTGAAGTTAGCAACCCACCAACAATTACATTCCTAACATAATTTGCACGTACTTGCCATAGCGCATCACGTGCCCGTGCAGAACACGCACTCCGAACTCCCGCGCTCCGGCACGGGACCACGCGGAGCATGCGCATTACTCCGGCTCTCGATGCTGTTTCTTCTTCATCCTTGCTGCGCCAACAGTCAGATCGCTTGACAACCTTGGCCAGTTTTTGAGCACCACCACCCACCCCATCATCTCTAACCATCATTCTATTCTAAGCCATCCCGGAAGGGAGAACGGTAGGGATCGTGGGTCAGGCCGGCATTGAGCCAAGTGCGCCTACATGTGCTCACAAGTGCATCCCTACCGTTTGCGTGTATTGACACGCCGGGCAATTGTTGCCGCCATTAGCCCTGGCATTGGCCAGTCTAACGCACATTGGTGCTTGCGATACTACGGCATTGGACCATAGTATTGCATACTGTATGCGGCAATTGTTGCCTATGCCCTGATAATACAACGCGTAATAGCTCCCAAACAGGACGGCTTGTGTGGTTGTTAATCACAATTATACTATATAACCAAAATCACATAAAAGCCGCCTTCTTCCAACGAATAAAAGTATCTTTGATCGCTCCCCTTCAACCTTCGACTACCTTGGGTGAGCCGGAAAACAGGTGTGAGCTAGCAACTTGGATGGCGACGATATTGGTCGTCTACCTGGGTAGCCACTAGACTGATCTAAGCCAAGTCACAAACCCGCCAAGCGCGGCCATGACAGATGTACTCGTAGTCAATACATGATGTACAGTGTTGGGTGTACTCGTAGTCAACACATGATGTACAGTGTTGGGTGTACTCGTAGCCAACACATGATGTACAGTGTTGGGTGTACTCGCAGTCAACACATGATGTACAGTGTTGGGTGTACTCGTAGTCAATACATCATGTACAGTGTTGGGTGTACTCGTAGTCAATACATGATGTACAGTGTTGGGTGAACTTGTAGTCAACACATGATGTACAGTGTTGGGTGTACTCGTAGTCAACACATGATGTACAGTGTTGGGTGTACTCGTGGTCAATACATGATGTACAGTGTTGGGTGTACTCATAGTCAACACATGATGTACAGTGTTGGGTGTACTCGTAGTCAACACATAATGTGCAGTGTTGGGTGTACCCGTAGTCAATACATGATGTACAGTGTTGGGTGTACTCGTCGTCAACACATGATGTACAGTGTTGGGTGTAATCGTAGTCAACGCATGATGTACAGCATTGGGTGTACTCGTAGTCAACACATGATGTACAGTGTGGGGCGTACTCGTAGCCAACACATGATGTACAGTGTTGGATGTACTCGTAGTCAACACATGATGTACAGTGTCTGGTCACATGGTCAACACATGATGTATAGTGTTTGGTTTGTATTGTTGTACTTACATCATGGCGATACAGTCCACTTTTCTTTTATAGATTAGCGCATCAGTCTGCAGAGTAAAACAGAACACACATGCATAACAAACAAGCCATGGTCGGAATAGAAATCTTCATATCTCATGTGTATGTCATGATAGAGCATGGGCCATGCAAACTGTGATGTCTTAGCGCTGTAACTCCCCCCCCCCCCCCCTCCCGCTGATCAACGTTCAGTTCATTGTTGGTATTTGGCCCTGCGTAAGTACCGGCACCAGTGCCAGCAGCACATGTGCATGCATCATCAATATACCCTACATCAACCATATCAGCATAACCATTAACATATCCAGTAACCATCAACATAACTACCAACATATTAACAAAATATATTTAATACAGACAAGACCGACACGCAGACAAGAACAAAATATAAGTTTCCGTGCATGGCACGGTAAGTGGAGTTAGCAACACACCAACATCCTTGCCATAAGCAACACTTGTACATGCATAACATGCATGCACTCCGAATTCCCGCGTCTCCGCACGGGACTGTGCGGAGCATGCGCATTACTCCAATTCGCCATGCTGTTGTTTCTTGCTCTTCGCTTTGCTGTGCTGACGGTCAAATTGTTTGACTATCGCGGCCGGTTTCTGATCAATATCCGATCCGAACCATGTCTCTATCAGTGAGCGATGTCCAGCCAAAACGCTCTTTGCTTTGCTGCGCTGACGGTCAAATTGCTTGACATTCGCGGCCAGCCTTTCTGATCAATATCCGATCAACCATGTCTCTGTCAGTGAGCGATGTCCAGCCATAACGCTCTTTGCGTTGCTGCGTTGACGGTCAAATTGTTTGACGATCGCGGCCAGTTTCTGATCAATATCCGATCAACCATGTCTCTGTCAGTGAGCGATGTCCAGCCAAAATGCGCTCTGCTGAGCTGCGAAACGCACTGGCATCCCGCAATTATTTAGACCCGACAGGAACAAAACCTACTCCGCGGACTCGCCTGCTCGAGTTGAAGTTGGCTCCAGGCTACTGTACGCGAGGACTTGGCCGATCCGGCAGCGGAGCAGAACCTAGCCGAGGCAACTGCAGGCCCATCCCTGGGAGACTTTTGTCGGGAGGAGGTTCGCGCTGCAGCTCCAGCCGTGCTGAGAACCCACACGCCGGCGCCTCCGACCCAAGCTCCGCGCAACGTTCGTGCGGCACGGGAGCTCTCCCACGCACGGCAGGGCGCTCCGCCTGCTTTGGCTGCCGCCACGGCCACCTCAACCGCCGCAGGTAAGAAAACCTTTTATGCTACGGTGCCGAAACCCGTTCATGATAAGGTAGTGACTGGCCAGTCGTTGACTCTGATTTGGTTCCTTATTGCCAAGTGACTTGTCAGTCCCAAGGGGACACCAGCCGCAGCGTTTTACAACGTGACCACTACAGCTCCTACGGCCCAGTGGTTCTGGCACCTGTATGCGGGCACTCCAGTCCAGGAGAGTCGAGGACATTGGCGCCTGGCTCGACGCTTGGACCACGGATTGTGCGACTTACGCAGCAGCACACCCCTCCCGGGCCCCGGAGCTGTTTTCGTACCAGCCCATAATCTTGAAGATGGCTCGGAAATTTAGGCTCCAGGCTGTGTACGAGTACGATCGATCACTTCGCCCCCGTTTCGTAATATCCGATGCTCTGGCATTGGCATTGTGCCCAAGACGTCTGGTGGTGTGCGCCTCATCATGCACCTACCTGCTCCTAGCGGCTCTGGCATTGATGACGGCCGTTCCTTTGACGCGCTCCCCCTACATTATGTCACTGTGGACGGCGCAATACACTGCATTTCCCAACACAGTCCCCGAGCTCTCCTCTCTAAAGCCGACACGAAGTATGCCTGGCAGCTTTGGCCTGTTTCCCCTCATGTCTGGCACCGGCTTGGCATTTTTGGGAAGGTTCGCACCATGTAGATAAGGCACTACCATTTGGCCTTAGATCCTCCCCTTCTGTTCAACAGACCGGCTGATGTGGACTCTCAGCCCAACGGCGACTCTGCAATGGTCCTGCTAAGTCTCTTACTCGTCTTCGAGTACAGCGCTTCCGGACTCTCAGCCCATCTGCCGACGCAGTGCTGACACACCCTACACAGTCCACCCTCCAGCAGTTGACGACACAACCATGGACCTCATCCGCCAGGGCCTGGCGGACAGCCCCAACATGACATGCGCTTCGCTGCCGCGCTCCGAACGCTTGTCGCCCTGCGCCAGGGCAAGCCACACTCAGGGACTGATCAGTGCCGGCAGCATTGTTCCAGATCCTGTACTTTGAGTGCATTGCCCACTATGCTAATGGCCAGCCGCATTGGACGGCACTCACATCAATTGCAGTGTAATAGTAATGCAGATAAATCCTGTTTGGATCCGGTTGTCAGCGCTGCCGGACTCGCATCCCAACTGCCGAAGTGGTGCCAACACAACCAGCGCAGTCCACCCTCCAGCAGTTGATGACGCAACCATGGACCTCATCCGCCAGGGCCTGGCGGACAGCTCCTGCACGACATACGCTTCGCTGCAGCGCTCCGGACGCTTGTCGCCCTGCACTAGGGCAAGCCATACCCAGTGACTGATCAGGGCCAGCAGCATTGTTCCAGATCCGGTACGTTGAGCGCATTGCCCACTATGCTAATGGCCAGCCGCATTGGACGGCACTCACATCAATTGCAGTGTAATAGTAATGCAGATAAATCCTGTTTGGGTCAGGTTGTCGGCGCTTCCGGACTCGCAGCCCAACTGTCAACTCAGTGCCGACACAACCAGCGCAGTCCACCCTTCAGCAGTTGACGACGCAACCATGGACTTCATCCGCCAGGGCCTGGCGGACAGCTCCAGCACGACATACGCTTCGCTGCAGCGCTCCGGACGTTTGTCGCCCCCGCGCCAGGGCAAGCCACACTCAGGGACTGATCAGTGCCGGCAGCATTGTTCCAGATCCTGTACTTTGAGTGCATTGCCCACTATGCTAATGGCCAGTCGCATTGGACGGCGCTCACATCAATTGCAGTGTAATAGTAATGCAGATAAATCCTGTTTGGATCCGGTTGTCAGCGCTGCCGGACTCGCATCCCAACTGCCGAAGTGGTGCCAACACAACTAGCGCAGTCCACCCTCCAGCAGTTGATGACGCAACCATGGACCTCATCCGCCAGGGCCTGGCGGACAGCTCCTGCACGACATACGCTTCGCTGCAGCGCTCCGGACGCTTGTCGCCCTGCACTAGGGCAAGCCATACCCAGTGACTGATCAGGGCCAGCAGCAAAGTTCCAGATCCGGTACGTTGAGCGCATTGCCCACTATGCTAATGGCCAGCCGCATTGGACGGCACTCACATCAATTGCAGTGTAATAGTAATGCAGATAAATCCTGTTTTGGTCAGGTTGTCGGCACTTCCGGACTCGCAGCCCAACTGCCGACTCAGTGCCGACACAACCAGCGCAGTCCACCCTTCAGCAGTTGACGACGCAACCATGGACTTCATCCGCCAGGGCCTGGCGGACAGCTCCAGCACGACATACGCTTCGCTGCAGCGCTCCGGACGTTTGTCGCCCCCGCGCCAGGGCAAGCCACACCCAGGGACTGATCAGTGCCAGCAGCGTTGTTCTAGATCCGGTACTTAGAGCGCATTGCCCACTATGCTAATGGGCAGCCGCATTGGACGGCGCTCGCACCAATTGCTGTAAAGAGTAATGCCGATAAATCCTGTTTGGGTCATGTTGTATTTTTGGGAGAACAGTAAGGATCGTGAGTCAGGCCGGCATTGAGCCAAGTGCGCCTATATTCGCTCACAAGTGCATCCTTTAAGCCATCCCGTAAGGGAGAACAGTAGGGATCGTGGGTCAGGCCGGCATTGAGCCAAGTGCGCCTACATTCGCCCACAAGTGCATCCCTACTGCATGCTCGTGTATTGACACATCTGAATTCAACAGTAGGGATCGTGGGTCAGGCCGGCATTGAGCCAAGTGCGCCTACATTCGCCCACAAGTGCATCCCTACTGCATGCTCGTGTATTGACACATCTGAATTCAACAGTAGGGATCGTGGGTCAGGCCGGCATTGAGCCAAGTGCGCCTACATTCGCCCAAAAGTGCATCCCTACTGCATGCTCGTGTATTGACACATCTGAATTCTACACTAGGGATCGTGGGTCAGGCGGGCATTGAGCCAAGTGCGCCTACATTCGCCCACAAGTGCATCCCTACTGCATGCTCGTGTATTGACACGTCTGAATTCTCGCCGGGCAATTGTTGCCCCAGTTAGTGTCGGCATTGGCCATACTAACGCACAGCGGTGCTTGCAATACTAGCTCTGGCATTGGACCAGAATATTGCATATTGTATGCGGCAATTGTTGCCTATCTCCTGGTAATACAACGCGTAATAGCTCCCAAACAGGTCGGCTTGTTGTGTGGTTGGTAAATAAATTTAATACAGACAAGACCGCCAGCATCATTATAAGTAAATTTCGTATGATTACCTGCACATGTCACGAACACATGATGTTCAGGGATTTGATGTACTCATAAATGACACTCCATGCACAGAGTTCGGTGTGCTCGTATTCAACACATGATGTACAGCGTTGGGTGTACTCGTAGTCAACACATGATGTACAGTGTTCGGTGTGCTCTTAGTCAACACATCATGTACAGTGTTGGGTGTACTCATAGTCAACACATGATGTACAGTGTTGGGTGTACTCGTAGTCAACACATGATATACAGTGTTGGGTGTACTCGTAGTCAACACATGATGTACAGTGTTGGGTGTACTCGTAGTCAACACATGATGTACAGTGTTGGATGTACTCGTAGTCAACACATGATGTACAGTGTTGGGTGTACTCGTAGTCAATACATGATGTACAGTGTTGGGTGTACTCGTAGTCAATACATGATGTACAGTGTTGGATGTACTCGTAGTCAACACATGATGTACAGTGTTGGGTGTACTCGTAGTCAATACATGATGTACAGTGTTGGGTGTACTCGTAGTCAACACATGATGTACAGTGTTGGGTGTACTCGTAGTCAACACATGATGTACAGTGTTGGGTGTACTCGTAGTCAACACATGATGTACATGTGCATGTACATGCATCATCAATATACCCTACATCAACCATATCAGCATAACCATTAACCATTAACATATCCAGTAACCATCAACATAACTACCGACATATTAACAAAATATATTTAATACAGACAAGACCGCCAGCATCATTATAAGTAAATTTCGTATGATTACCTGCACATGTCACGAACACATGATGTTCAGGGATTTGATGTACTCATAAATGACACTCCATGCACAGAGTTCGGTGTGCTCGTATTCAACACATGATGTACAGTGTTGGGTGTACTCGTAGTCAACACATGATGTACAGTGTTGGGTGTACTCGTAGTCAACACATGATGTACAGTGTTGGGTGTACTCGTAGTCAACACATGATGTACAGTGTTGGGTGTACTCGTAGTCAACACATGATGTACAGTGTTGGGTGTACTCGTAGTCAACACCTGATGTACAGTGTTGGGTGTACTCGTAGTCAACACATGATGTACAGCGTTGGGTGTACTCGTAGTCAATACACGATGTACAGTGTTGGGTGTACTCGTAGTACACATGATGTACAGTGTTGGGTGAACTCGTCGTCAATACATGATGTACAGTGTTGGGTGTACTCGTAGTCAACACATGATGTACAGTGTTGGGTGTACTCGTAGTCAACACATGATGTACAGTGTTGGGTGTACTCGTAGCCAACACATGATGTACAGTGTTGGGTGTACTCGTAGTCAACACATGATGTACAGTGTCTGGTCACATGGTCAACACATGATGTATAGTGTTTGGTTTGTATTGTTGTACTTACATAATGGCGATGCAGTCCACTTTTCTTTTATAGATTAGCGCATCAGTCTGCAGAGTAAAACAGAACACACATGCATAACAAACAAGCCATGGTCGGAATAGAAATCTTCATATCTCATGTGTATGTCATGATAGAGCATGGGCCATGCAAACTGTGATGTCTTAGCGCTGTAACTCCCCCCCCCCCCCCCCCTCCCGCTGATCTACGTTCAGTTCATTGTTGGTATTTGGCCCTGCGTAAGTACCGGCACCAGTGCCAGCAGCACATGTGCATGCATCATCAATATACCCTACATCAACCATATCAGCATAACCATTAACATATCCAGTAACCATCAACATAACTACCGACATATTAACAAAATATATTTAATACAGACAAGACCGCCAGCATCATTATAAGTAAATTTCGTATGATTACCTGCACATGTCACGAACACATGATGTTCAGGGATTTGATGTACTCATAAATGACACTCCATGCACAGAGTTTGGTGTGCTCGTAGTCAACACATTATGTACAGTGTTGGGTGTACTCGTAGTCAACACATGATGTACAGTGTCGGGTGTACTCGTAGTCTACACATGATGTACAGTGTTGGGTGTACTCGTAGTCAATACATGATGTACAGTGTGGGGTGTACTCGTAGTCAACACATGATGTACAGTGTCGGGTGTACTCGTAGTCTACACATGATGTACAGTGTTGGGTGTACTCGTAGTCAACACATGATGTACAGTGTTGGGTGTACTCGTAGTCAACACATGATGTACAGTGTGAGGTGTACTCATAGTCAACACATGATGTACAGTGTTGGGTGTAGTCGTAGTCAACACATGATGTACAGTGTTGGGTGTACTCGTAGTCAACACATGATGTACAGTGTTGGGTGTACTCGTAGTCAACACATGATGTACAGTGTTGGGTGTACTCGTAGTCAACACATGATGTACAGTGTTGGGTGTACTCGTAGTCAACACATGATGTACAGTGTTGGGTGTACTCGTAGTCAACACATGATGTACAGTGTTGGGTGTACTCGTAGTCAACACATTATGTACAGTGTTGGGTGTACTCGTGGTCAATACATGATGTAGAGTGTTGGGTGTACTCGTAGTAAACACATGATGTACAGTGTTGGGTGTACTCGTAGTCAACACATGATGTACAGTGTTGGGTGTACTCGTAGTCAACACATGATGTACAGTGTTGGGTGTACTCGTAGTCAACACATGATGTACAGTGTTGGGTGTACTCGTAGTCAACACATGATGTACAGTGTTGGGTGGACTCGTAGTCAACACATGATGTACAGTGTTGGGTGTACTCGTAGTCAACACATGATGTACAGTGTTGGGTGTACTGGTAGTCAACACATGATGTACAGTGTTGGATGTACTCGTAGTCAACACATGATGTACAGTGTTGGGTGAACTCGTAGGCAATACATGATGTACAGTGTTGGGTGTACTCGTAGTCAAAACATGACGTACAGTGTTGGGTGTACTCGTAGTCAACACATGATGTACAGTGTTGGGTGTACTCGTAGTCAACACATGATGTACAGTGTTGGGTGTACTCGTAGTCAACACATGATGTACAGTGTTGGGTGTACTCGTAGCCAACACATGATGTACAGTGTTGGGTGTACTCGGTCACATGACCTTGCACATACATGTAAAGTGTGGTGTGCTGCACTTTACCATGAACAACTGCATGTTGTACTTACGGCTTGTCGATAGGCAGCACTGCATTGTGAATAGTAGACGAAAAAGCACGTCGGTCTGCAGAGGAATACACAAACATATAGGAATGATGGACACAACACACACACACACACATATAAGCATATAGGAATACAGCTCTGTCAGTCTCTGCTCCTATTATTCACACAAAGTCCCACAGAGACGTCATGACAAGAATTAACCATGCGGATTGCACTCCCCGATGCCCTCCTTCTCCCCCTCCCCTCACTACCCCAGTCACCACCATTACTATGAGCACCCTGGCTGTGGCAGTGCCATCACAGTAACCATCAACAACTCCAAAACAAGCTCCGCCACTGCCACTGCCACCGCCACCGCCACCGCCACAGCCACTGCCACAGCCACTGCCACTGCCACTGCCACTGCCACAGCCACTGCCACTGCCACAGCCACCGCCACAGCCACTGCCACAGCCACTGCCACAGCCACTGCCACTGCCACTGCCACTGCCACAGCCACTGCCACAGCCACCGCCACAGCCACTGCCACTGCCACAGCCACCGCCACAGCCACTGCCACTGCCACAGCCACTGCCACAGCCACTGCCACTGCCACTGCCACAGCCACCGCCACTGCCACTGCCACTGCCACAGCCACTGCCACTGCCACTGCCACAGCCACTGCCACAGCCACCGCCACAGCCACTGCCACTGCCACAGCCACCGCCACAGCCACTGCCACTGCCACAGCCACTGCCACAGCCACTGCCACTGCCACTGCCACAGCCACCGCCACTGCCACTGCCACTGCCACAGCCACTGCCACTGCCACTGCCACAGCCACTGCCACTGCCACAGCCACCGCCACAGCCACTGCCACTGCCACAGCCACTGCCACTGCCACTGCCACAGCCACCATAGCACAACAACAAAATCTGCAAACATTGTCGCTAACATCACAGCCACTATCACCTCCTCCGCCACAACCACAATCAAAACAAGCACACAAACACACACACACGAAGTACTTATCTCCCTCCCCAGGGTGTATGATAATGTTGATATACTGAATGGGTGATACTCTCAGGACACAACAGACAACGAGCACAGATAGGTGGGAAGACATTTTTTAGAGAGAGACGAAGAGACGGAGACATAGACAAACCGGAAACGACTACATTATGGAAGAGGGACAGAGATCACTTGAGGGAGAATGCAAGATAAAGAGCCTCGGTAGCTATGACAAATATGGGCGCGCAAGTAGCTACCTAAGCCAACGGAACAAAAGGTGAGACCGAGTTTATACGGGGTGCATGTAGGCCAGCTTGGGAAAGGTAGATTGTATGGCAGGAGGTATCTAACAATAATAGTAAGTACTTATTTCACTCTCCAGTGGTGTGCAATAGTCGTAAGTACTGTTTTCCCTCCGCAGTGGTGTACAATAGCTGTAAGTATTGTTTTCACTTCCCAAGAGTGTATGCTAAGAGTAAGTACTTATTTCACTCCGCAGTGGTGTACAATATATGTAAGTACTGTTTTCACTCCGCAGTGGTGTACAATAGATGTAAGTACTCTTTCACTCCTCAAGAGTGTATGCTAAGAGTAAGTACTTATTCCACTCACATATTTCACTTCCCTATGGTGTACGGCAAAGATAGCAAGAACAGTCAACTTTGCGTATGACACTCGGTGGGACATTAGAAGAGTGTCCTTATTCGCGAAGTGTCGCTATACCCGAAGTCTCATTACCAGTATGTATTGCAGTTAGATAGGACTTTGCTCTGGGCATGGAAATTCTGTCATTATTAGCGAATTGTCGTTATATCCGCAGTCATTATTAGCGAATTGTCGTTATATCCTAGGGTCGTTATTAGCGAATTGTCGTTATATCCTAGGGTCGTTATTAGCGAATTGTCGTTATATCCTAGGGTCGTTCTATCCTAGGGTCGTTATTAGCCAAGTTGACTGTACTTCTAAGTGTTCAGTTCCGCCTTGCAATGGTCATAACACTGTTTACTCTTTTCACAATGGTCATAACACTGTTTACTCTTTTCACAATGGTCATAACACTGTTTACTCTTTTCACAATGGTCATAACACTGTTTACTCTTTTCACAATGGTCATAACACTGTTTACTCTTTTCACAATGGTCATAACACGTGTTTGCTCTTTTCACAATGGTCATAACACTGTTTGCTCTTTTCACAATGGTCATAACACTGTTTACTCTTTTCACAATGGTCATAACACTGTTTACTCTTTTCACAATGGTCATAACACTGTTTACTCTTTTCACAATGGTCATAACACTGTTTACTCTTTTCACAATGGTCATAACACTGTTTACTCTTTTCACAATGGTCATAACACTGTTTACTCTTTTCACAATGCACAATGCACCAAGATGCTTTTGATCAAAGAATGGAAGCGACAATCCACTGCTCTTGTGATGTGTGAGCCTCCCACAAAAAGGCGCATGCAGGCGTTCAAGGAAGGTGCCTGCAGGTCTCTCAGCAGCCAAGACTGGCATTCGATCGATACAGTCTGACCCCCCCCAAATACTCTCTCCCATTGCACCCTGGTTCCTCTCTTCAATCTTAGTTTAACCATGTTTGCTTCATTATACAATGCACTCTTTCCACTGTCCATTTCCTCTGCTGGTCCTCACCCCTGGTATACTGAAGTATCATTGAAGCCGAGACCTCATGTCGGCGGAGTTACACCAGTTTCACCAACATAGCTGTGATTCCCGCCATCTCTAGTAGCTTCACCATGTACTATCTGTTTCGGGGTAAACAAGTTAGTTGTTTACGATAGGATTATATTCTCACTTGGCCATTGTAGGCAAATCATAAGAACGACGACATCTAAAGGATCCTGCATGAAAGTAGGCAGCTGCGAGATGCGTATCTCGCGCATGCTCTTGCATGGCTACGTAATGCATTACATCATGATACAACATCCCCTTCGTCATAAAGGAGTTTATCAGTTTAACAACCTACATAACATACCGTACGTATATGATGGCGTGTTCACAATATAGAACATAACATCCAACAATAGCTCTATGTACAAGGTAACAATCATGAATGGCACACGACGGCGTGCTAACAATACAGAGACATAGTATCCAACAATAGCTCTATGTACAATAAAACAATGGCACCTCAGCTACTGTGACATAAGCGAACAGGTCCATGAGGCCTCTCTGGCCCTACACATCCAGGATTGACCTGGGTGCGACTGCGCGGCCAGACCGTGTTCGATACAGCTGGGTGGCAGGTTCAGCAGGCTGGCTGACGTCACACGGTGACGGCGGCTGAGACTGGCTAACGTCGCTCCACGGCGACGGCACGTCACTCGGCGGCTGAGGGCCTGCGAGACTGGCATCCGGCGGGAAGTGGACCCGCCTCTCTCTGAGGTGGGTACGGTTGCGCCGCACTTCTGTCCCATGGTCAGGCTGCACCATGTATGACCGTGGCCCGTTGACAGACTGGGTTACGATACCAGGTTCCCACAGGTGCGAGGTCGGGCTGCGGATGCCGACGTGCTGACCAGGAACTTGGGGGCGGAGAGACTGCGCTCGCTGGTCATGGTGTACTTTCTGCTGGTCTTGCCGTTCCTCGAGCTTCTGTCGGATGGCCTCGTCCCGAGTGTCGCGCTGGTGTTTGCGAGGCAGGTTGTCCTGTACCTGACGACCGAACAGCATCTCGGCCGGCGACGGTAAGCCCTGGCACACTGGGGTGGCGCGAATGCACAGCAGTGCTAAGTGCGGGTCGGTCCCGCTCTCCCTTGCCTTCTCGAGAGCTCTCTTAGCGATCTTGACTTGCGATTCGATAAACCCGTTACTCTGCGGGTGATGTGGCGACGACGTACTGTGGCGGAATCCATATTCGGCAGCAAACTCCGCGAACAGATGGCTGCTGTATTGCGGCCCGTTGTCCGACTTCAGCACGGCTGGGATGCCGTGCTCACCGAAAATCTCCTTGAGGTGCTGGATGATGGCCCTGCTGGTCGCTTGTCCGGCAGGCAGCTTCCGGGTGATAAAGTACTTGGAGTAGTAGTCGGCGGCAATGAGGTATTCTGACCCGCCGAGGTAGAACAGGTCCGTGCCTAAGGTGTGCCATGCCCTTGGCGGAATATCGGGCTGCACCAGTGGTTCCTTGGCTTGACTGCTCTGGTGGCGCTGGCACGTCGTGCAAGATGAGACAGTTGCTTCGATATCCTTGTTGATGTCCTTCCAGAAGACGGACGTTCTGGCTCGCAGCTTGGTCTTCTCTATGCCTTGGTGGCTGGCGTGCAGCTTGCTGAGGATTTCCCCCCTCATTGGCGGGGGAATCAGGACGCGACTGCTCTTCAGGATGAGACCGTCCTCGGTGCTCATCTCGTCGCGGAAATTCCAGTACGGGAGCAGAATTGCCGGCACCGCGCTCCTCTCTGATGGCCAGCCACTGAAGATCATCTCCTTCAGTGCTGACATCTCGGCGTCTTTAGCCGACTCCTCGCGGATCCTCGTCATCGCTGCATCGCTGAATTGCGGGAACACGGCTTGTACACTGACGTCGAGGTCCTCAATTGGCTCTGTTTCCTCTGGCGACAGTCGGGATAGCGCGTCTGCGATCGGAATGTCCTTTCCGGGTGGTACTTGATGGTCATGTCGTACGGCTGCAGCTTCAGCAGCATGCGCTGTAGACGCGGCGGGGCTGCGCGGAGGTGCTTGAGCTTGATTGACTCCAGCGGCTTGTGGTCGGATTCTACTGTGAATGACTGACCGAATAGGTAGGTGTGGAATCTTTCACACCCGTATACGACAGCTAAGAGCTCACGCTCAATATTGGCGTAGCGAGACTCCGTCTCGGTAAGCTTCTTGCTGGCGAATGCAACAGGCTTGTCGTCCTGCAGCAGAGTGGCGCCGAGACCTTTCATGGAAGCGTCGACTTGTAGTGTCGTTGCCTTGCCTGGGTCAAAGTAACTGAGCGTTACTTCTGTCGAAATGGCGGCCTTGACCTTGTCGAAGGTGCGCTGGTGGCTGTCTGTCCAGGCGAACGGTGTATCTGGCTTGGTCAGCTCACGCAGGTGCGCGGTCAGTGTACTGGCATTCGGTATGAACGGGCTCATGTACGTGACTAGCCCGAGGAACGTCTGGAGCTCGTCCTCGTTCTCGGGGTGCTCCATCTGCTTCAGCGCTGAGACCTTCTTCGGGTCGGGCTGTATTCCGTCAGCGCTGCAGATGATGCCGAAGAACTTGATCTTGTCCTCTTTGATGCGGCATTTGTCTGGGTTCAACTTCAGACCAGATTGTTCGCAGCGAACCATCATCTGGTGCATGTTGAGATCATGGTCCTCGTCTGACGTCCCGTATGTGACGATGTCGTCTGCAATGCCGGTGACGCCTGAGCACCCTTCGAACGTCTGGTCGATCCTTGCTTGGAAGACATCTTGCGACATCTTGAGGCCGAATGGCATGCGAAGGAATCTGTAGCGCCCGAATGGTGTGTTGAAGGTGGTGAGGTAACTGGATTCGTCGTCGAGCTCCACATTCCAGTACCAAAATTTGACGTCGACGATCGAGAACACTTTGGCACCTCTCAACTTCCGGGTGATCTCCTCAATGGTGGAGACCACGTGGTGCTCTCGCAGGATGGCGTGATTGAGGTCCTTGGGGTCTAGGCACAGGCGTAGCTTGCCATTGTCTTTGAGGCGGAACACGAGGCTGTTCACCCACGCTGTTGGTTCGCCTTCCTGGATCTTGGTGATGATGCCGTTCTGGATCATGTCCTCCAGCTCAGTCTTGATCTCGTCTCTCAGTGCGATGGCGTGGAGGTGGCGTGGAGGGTGTACAACCGGGACGACGTTGGGGTCCACCGTGATGTGGTACTTGCCTGGGAATTTCCCAATGCCATCGAAGCACTTCGGGTATTGCTTCATCAGGTCGTCCTTGTCTCGGATGCTCGCTGGCTTCTCCTGGACAGCGCAGTTCAGCGTGACTAACTGCAGGGCTGTCGCTGTCGGGAGGCCGATGATAGCAGTGCCAGGGCAGTCCGTGATGTAGAAGTCAGCGAGTTGACTCTTGCCATCGTAAGAGCACGGAATAGGACGGGTTCCGCATTGCTTTATCTTGGATCCGCCGTACGCTGTAAGGGTGGTACTTGACGGCTTCACGGACTTCGGCTTTGGGTATCTGTTTGGTCCGACGTGCTGTGGAAACATTTGGCAGAACACTCTCAGCGGCAATATATTGCCCTGGGCGCCCGTATCCACCTTGGCTCTCAAGGTGGCCGGTCTGTTGGTGTTGTCCAGGCTGACATTGAGGGTCGCGAACACCTCTCGCTCTAGTGGCGGTTGGTGACGCTCGACGCTGTCGATGATGACGGCGTCGAAATGCAGTGCGTCGAAGCGTCTCCGTGGGCTGGGGCTCCTCTGGGGGTAGCGCTCCCGCGGGCTGGGGCTCCTCTGGCGCCAGCGTCCGCGTTGCTGGCCCCTTCCATGTGCCTCGTCTCTCCCCTGCGAACGGCATACGTTTGCCCAGTGATTCGCCTTCCCGCATTTGTTGCAGGTGGAGCCGTGCGCTGGGCACTTGCTTGGGTGGTGGGTTCGTCCACATTTGCCGCAGTCTGCGTGTCCCACAGATTTGGAAATGGCGTGAACCGTTTCAGGTAGACGGCTGCTGCTGGTGGCGGTGGACAGCTGCTCCATGTGGCGCTGTGTTGCTTCATAAGTACGGGCCTTGTCAAGCGCTTCGTCCAGAGTCAAATCACTACCACCCTCCAGCAGGCGTTCTTGCACTTTCGAGTGCTTCGTCCCCACGATTAGCTGTTCTATCAGGCGATCGTTAGTCTCCTGAGCGTCCCTGAACTTGCACTTGGACGTCTTCTTCTTACACCTCGCAAAGAAATCATCTACAGACTCGTCGGGTTGCTGGCGGTATTTCTGAAGCTCAAACCGAGCCAGTCGTGCATTTACCCGTGGCTGCAAATGCTTATTAAATTTCTTGAAGACGGCAGCTACTTTGGATTTGTCGCTTGCATTATCCCACTCGAAACTATTGAAAGCATCAACACCAGTTCTCCCGATCCATAGCATGACATAGGCGACCTTTTCCTTGTCGGACTTGTCGGAAAAGGGCCCTTGGAAAACTAGAAGGCAGTATTGTTGGAACCGCTCGAATTCGTCAGGTAAATCTGCGGCTTGCCAATCCATCGACGGCGGGGTAAATCCGGCTGCTTCTGCCATTTTACCTCTTGGACCGGTGGCGCTACTGCGACAATTCTAGGGCGTTTATTTGGTTTACTTCTGACACCATGTTTCGGGGTAAACAAGTTAGTTGTTTACGATAGGATTATATTCTCACTTGGCCATTGTAGGCAAATCATAAGAACGACGACATCTAAAGGATCCTGCATGAAAGTAGGCAGCTGCGAGATGCGTATCTCGCGCATGCTCTTGCATGGCTACGTAATGCATTACATCATGATACAACACTATCTATTCTTGAGGTTTGTAGTTTCTTGTTACAACAAAAGAGAGCTACATACAGTAGAACTCGCTTAGTACATACCCAAGTAAGGCATACACCTGCTCAGTACATACCCAGGTAACACATATACACTTGCTCAGTACATACCCAGGTAAGACATACCCAGGTAACACATATACACCTGCTCAGTACATACCCAGGTATGGCATACACCTGCTTAGTACATACCCAGTAACACATACACCTGCTTAGTACATACCCAGGTATGGCATACACCTGCTTAGTACATACCCAGGTATGGCAAACACCTGCTTAGTACATACCCAGGTATGGCAAACACCTGCTTAGTACATACCCAGGTAAGATATACACCTGCTCAGTACATACCCAGGTAACACATATACACCTGCTCAGTACATACCCAGGTAACACATATACACCTGCTCAGTACATACCCAGGTAAGACATATACCTGCTTAGTACATACCCAGGTAAGATATACACCTGCTTAGTACATACCCAGGTAACACATATACACCTGCTCAGTACATACCCAGGTAACACATATACACCTGCTTAGTACATACCCAGGTAAGACATATACCTGCTCAGTACATACCCAGGTAAGATATACACCTGCTTAGTACATACCCAGGTAACACATATACACCTGCTTAGTACATACCCAGGTAAGACATACACCTGCTTAGTACATACCCAGGTAAGACATATACACCTGCTTAGTACATACCCAGGTAAGATATACACCTGCTTAGTACATACCCAGGTAAGACATATACACCTGCTTAGTACATACCCAGGTAAGACATATACACCTGCTTAGTACATACCCAGGTAAGACATATACACCTGCTCAGTACATACCCAGGTAAGATATACACCTGCTTAGTACATACCCAGGTAAGATATACACCTGCTCAGTACATACCCAGGTAAGATATATACCTGCTCAGTACATACCCAGGTAAGATATATACCTGCTCAGTACATACCCAGGTAAGATATACACCTGCTCAGTACATACCCAGGTAAGACATACACCTGCTTAGTACATACCCAGGTAAGACATACACCTGCTTAGTACATACCCAGGTATGACATACACCTGCTTAGTACATACACAGGTATGACATACACCTGCTTAGTACATACCCAGGTATGACATACACCTGCTCAGTCACATGTTATGTTCACTGCTTGTCTGCTAAACTCAGAGACAAACTTGAGTCAACCAGCAATAGGTGCCTAAGGCAAGTGTTTGGCCATGATCAGTATACATCTATCGATTTCATTCTCACCAAATATAACCTGTATACTTTCTCCCGCCGTGTAAACTTGAAGCTGTTTGTGTTTGTTTTTAGGTGTCTATCTCGTTGCACCAGTCCTCTTTTAAGCACGATATTTACCCCCCGCTCTGCATCATGCCGCACAAATGCTGCTACCCGCGGTGAAGCTTCAGCCGCTCTGGACCTACCCAGATCTACGTCTCGTCACGGCCTGAATGCTATTTCATTTTTGGCAGCAGACAGATGGAACATGCTTCCACCTGGATGTCGTCAAGCTAAGCCCCTTTCTGCATTTGTCACAAGCACCAAGTCATTCCTAGGGTTCCCAGTAAAAAGGCAGCGCCTGTTGGGAGTTCCCTAGTAAAATAACAAATTCTACTACTACTACTACTACTCAGTACATACCCAGGTAAGACATACACCTGCTTAGTACATACCCAGGTAAGACATACACCTGCTCAGTACATACCCAGGTAAGACATACACCTGCTTAGTACATACCCAGGTAAGACATCGTCTTCGCTTTCTTGTTATTGGGCAACTTGCTCGTTAGAATCTGCGAAGTAAAATAAACAACAACAACAACAACAACAAAAACAACATACACCTGCTTAGTACATACCCAGGTAAGACATACACCTGCTTAGTACATACTGTAAATATACAAAATTTCGGCGCTGCAAAATTTCGGCACTTCACGATTTTTGACATTTCGGCGGCGATTTATTTTCGGCGTGGGGTAGAGGGCATGGTATAGTGCGACAGATGCTGTGAAAAATTTCATCGGCGATTTAATTTAGGCGTTTTGGGTCGGTGCCGAATATAGCCGAAATTAAATAGCTGCCGAAAATTTGTATAGTTACAGTACCCAGGTAAGACGTACACCTGCTTAGTACATACCCAGGTAAGACATACACCTGCTTAGTACATACCCAGGTAAGACATACACCTGCTTAGTACAGTCCTTTTTCATCGCACAGAGATTCCTTTAATAAACACATATACAATTGTGTGCGGATACGTGTGCAGATACGACGTACTCTGACGTACAACTCGTGTATGGCAGACCTTTCAGCAGGTGCTCACAGACCTGGCGTGGCCTGCTATACCATATTCTTGTAAACCTGCACACATGACAGGTTCGCTTGACAGTTACTTTAGTGTGTTGACAGTGCACAGGAGGCTGTTTGCAGTGTGGGAAGCCTGGTTTGGTGGCACTAACCACGTACATATATTTCGTTTCCTGATGATGGTCATGAAGATCGAAACGTTGAAACAATACCTCTAATGGATTTGTCTGAAATGCTGTGCTCTCTTGAGTGTAGGCAGGTTGCCTGCAAACTATTCAAGTGTAATGAAGCTGCGTGAAGCGTCCTTCAAAATTTTGATATATTTTTTGCTATAAATGATAATAAATTTCAAGAATTCTGGCATATTGCACATGTGTGGTATTGGTGGGGCCGCAGAGGTCAACTTTGGCTAAGAAGTACATGTACATTGGATAGTACGTACTTTTGTCCACTCCCAGAGGGGTACATCCTATCTGGGTTCCACAGTAAACAAAACGAAAGACTTTTGTTGGGTTTGAATTCAACTTTGAAAGCAATATCATGATCTTCCTGGGGCAAGTCGCAGCTCGTGAAACAATACTGTTTTGTATGATGATGAATATGGGAACAGCATAGACACATGGTACAGGAGCACTGGGTCGCGGTATTTCCTCTTTAGGATATCAACAGGACTGCGGACAATAGGGCTGGGAAGTACTACGTCACAGCCAGACCAGAATAAATGACAACTTTTTTCCTTTGTATCCAGTAGGATTCAGTATTCGTATCGATCCACACACCTTGAACCTTGAACGTGCCCATTGCCGATGGCAATGATAGCGAAGGGACTATCTGCTAGCCACACACACACCATTGGACGCCCATCGCCGGAGGCGATGATAGCGATGCTACAGCAGAAGCCATAGCAACTTGTGCTGGGATTGCACCATTCAACAGCTTGCAAGGCTGAAGAATTGACCGCCACTATTCAGCCTGGTCTACACCACACAGCTATGAAGTGGCTTTTTCTGGCCAGTGAATCCCTACTTTTTGGTCTTTTTTTACACACACACACACACACACACACACATACATTTGAGTGGTTTCCATCGCAGCAGGGTGACATATCCCAGCCAGTAGTGACTAGACCTTGACCCTCAGGGACCCACTCTCCGTACAGTTGTCACCAAAAAATCCGGCCAATGCTATGGATACCACCCTGCCAATGCCATGGATACTATCCGGCGAATGCCATGGATACCATCCGGCCAATGCCATGGATAATTGGATACCATCCGGCCAATGCCATGGATACCATCCGGCCAATGCCATGGATACCATCCGGCCAATGCCATGGATACAGTGGCACTGGCATGGTGCGTGTTCACCGGCGGTACTTCATGGTGGCATGATGGCTTGCATGCACTTACAGACTCAGTACTGGAGTCAGTACTGGAGTCAGTAGAGAGGGTCTACCAGCATAGCACTGAGCAGTCTGCACTGCACTCTGCCTAGCTAGCCTGCTGCAGTCGAGTCGAGCACTGCATGCGGCCCGTGCACCGTACAGCTACCGGTAGCTTAGCATAGCATTGGAGGGATGTTTTGGCGACGACTGTACAACATCCACACATTCCATGCGACACAACGTGCCAACCCACAACACACCGTACTGGGAAATGGGTAGAGGAGATCCAGATGTTGTTGGTTCTTCGACTTCTGACGTTCCACCTCTCAAGCCCTATGCGAGTGAGACTACGAACGTTCGAAATCGAAACACCCCAAATACATACTGAACTCGTAAAATGTCTAAAATGCTCCAGAACCAAAAAATACAAAAAACAATAAGTCCTTACCGGAATCACCAGGTCTTCGGTTCATCATCACGACAGGAATATCATGTGGACGCCGGCACGCCAATGGCTGGCCCAGATGCATCTCCAGCGAACTTGGACACAGGGTGTACTACCGGCCATTCCAATACTACGTAGAACGTAACTCCATTATAGCTTATTCTTCACACTGGCACTAGCGAATAAGTCCTGAACGGCCAGTGCAACTGCATGCCGCTAGAAAACAGCATAATAGGTCCTAGTAGGTACAGCTTGGCAACTGCTTCAAAGCAAAGAGCAACATTTGCCAGAGAGAAGAATCCACAAAAAATTAGAACTGAAATGAGTTGATAACAGTGCACGTCAGGTTACAATGAAGAGTTTGGGTTGTGAACAACTCAGTCGTCGCGACATGTTTCACTCTTTGCAGTGATCTCATCTTGTGGTGAAAACAACAGAACTTGACATTTTTTTATGCATCCGGCCCCACACCCTGCCACCCGGTACACCGTACAGTACACGTGGTACACCGTACAGACTCTTGCAACTAACACACTGTCTACACCAGGGAGTAGTATTTTACTACTCCCTGGTCTACACTACATGATTGTACAGTCTTCACTTCGTCTTCCACAAGACAGTAACATGATCATGATTGTCGCGTAGATCTACTTACATCAGGCATGTATCAAGTGCAGACATTGTTTGCACGTGCACTTGACCGTGCAGTGCAGCACGCGTCCACACTCGCGTTAGTCGACCACGAAAAACAGCGTAACAAGGCTTAGATCTAGAGTCGTGGACATGGAAATCTGGTCGCACGTCTAGCGGCCCCAGGGCGCTGGCCATGCAGCCTTGGGTAAGCAGTACACACATGCTGCAGCGCGCTGCATGCTGGTCGCATCGGATCATCCTCTGTTCTGTACGCGATGAGGGCGCCGGCCCCGGTCAATCGACTGGATTTCCATTTCCACGACTCTAGCCTAGGGGCGCGTTCGAATTGTCACCGTTTGACTTTTCGAGGAGCTTCGTTTTTCTGAAGAGGTGGCCTTATTGGCCTCTTCAGAAAAACGAAGATCCTCGAAACTCATCCGATCGGAAGGTGGATTTGTATTTGTATTTATATCATTATCTCATGGCACATCATGATGACGGCCAGTAAAACTGAGACAATGGTGAAAGCCAACCACAGCAGTAAAACAGATAAAAGAATACAAATAAGAGGCAAAGAAGGCAAAGGAGGAGACAAACCAGCAGGATATACATGAAACCTATAATTGAGCAGAGATTTTAGCAACAAAATTATCCATCGACGTGCTGGTCTTGGCCTGCGTTGGTAATGTTGCCCAAAACACATAGCCAGCAAAGATCGGGGATCTAGTGAATAGGGTGGAGGCAGCGCGTGGGAGACTGAGTGAGTTCCGGGTATTCCGTGTTTCGGAGAACCAATTATAAGCCTGCATATGCAAGGGTGTTTTATTTAGTAATATTTTATGTATGAGAACACAGAGGTGGTACTTATGTCGAGTGGAAAGGGGACTGATCTTGGCAATTTCGTAAAGACTAGCGGAGGGAAAGCGACGATCTTTGCTAAATAAGATTTTAAGGAGCATGCGGTTATGGGTTTCTAGCTTGTTCAATACAGTAGTAGTTATGCCAGACCAAGCAGTATCACAGTAGTCAAGTAAGGGCAATATATAGCAACGATAAAACAAGCGTTTGCAAGAAAGAGGAAGATGTCTACAGTGGGCTTGAAGAGCCCCAAGGATGGAGCTTGTGCGCTTGCAGACATACTGCACATGGGGTGACCACGACAATTTAGAGTCAATAATAACGCCAAGATGCTTATGCTCTTCAACAATACGAATAGCAACACTTGAAGAAGGAAAACAAAGTGGCAGGGAAAGGGGAGAAGGGGAAATGTACATAGCTGCCGTTTTATCAACGTTTGGCTGCAACTTCCAATCATGCATCCAGGTTATAACTTTCCCAATGCTATCTTGCATGGCTTCGTGCAGTCGTATAGGACAAGCATTGGAGCAAAGCAGAGCTGTGTCGTCAGCGAAAAGGCTGACACCAGGGGCAATATCGAGGAGGTCATTAATATACAGGAGAAATAGCAGTGGCCCAAGGATTGAACCCTGGGGGACTCCAGAAGTAACGGGTAAAGGCTCCGATGACACAGTTGAGAGGCGTACAAGCTGATGTCGGTTAGAGAGATACGAGGAGAGCCAGCCGATAGCCTTGCCATCAATGCGATATACTGTTCGCAGCTTAGCTAAGAGACCCCTGTGCCAAACAGTGTCGAATGCCTTTGCGAGATCGAAGAAAACTAAACCAACATGGTTATTGGCGTTCCGGGCGGTGTGGATGTCTTGCACGAGGCGGGTAACCTGGTACCTGGTGGAGTCACCCCGACAAAAGCCCGAATGTGCTGGCGAAAGTGAAATGCGAACATGATCATAAATGATGTCCTATACAACACGTTCGCACACTTTTGATAAAGTAGGGAGCAATGAGATAGGGCGATAGTTGCTGGGGGTGGTGCGTGGTCCTCTATTTTTGTAGGTGGCCACGACTACCGTAGTTTTCCACATGGCTGGGAATTTCCCTTCGCGAAATGACATATTCAAGATAATTGACACAGGATAGGTAACAGACGGAGCAAGAGCTCTCCAAACTTCGTTGGTAATTCCGTCTTGACCAGGGGACTTGCCAGTTTTCAGATTACGGAGATATTTCCTCACTTGGGCTGTACCAGTCGACAATGATAGGAGGGACGCAGGTATTGAGGGTGAAGGGGTGAGTGGTGGTATATGCCACGTAGGGTCGTCAGGAAGTCCAAACGACGTAAACTGCGTGTTCAATATGTCTGCTATGTCTGCGGGATCTGTTCCTACCGTGCCGTCTGAAGCTGTCATTGATCGGATCGGCTCCCGACTACAGTTCTTACGGAGATGGCGGAGAAATTGATGGAGACTAGGCCATAGGGCGATCATGGGAAGACAGGGTGGCATGAACCGACTGTACATACTGACAATGGAGGGTACGTGACAAACATTTCACTTCGTTACGCTTGCGCTTAAAGGCAATGAAGTTTTCACTGGTTGGATACTTCCTATAAATGCTATACAAATCTCGCTTCAGTTTCACAGCACACTTGAGGTCCGGAGTGATCCAGGGTCGGGATGCATCCCGCATAGTAGGACGAGGCCTAATGTAGTCTCCTGTCCGCGGAATAACTTTGTAAGGCAACAGATGAAGATGGAATGCTGACTGTAGTAAAGCATCAAACAGGACAATGGCATCATCAACATCAGAATGCCGATGAAGTAATGACCAGTCCAACCTAGACAAGTCTTCATTCACAACCTGCCAGACACGGGTAGGCACTTGTTTATACCTGTACTGAGCCTGGGGATGGAGGGACAGTTTAGCAGTCGCTTGTGGTATCGAGCACGATGCATAGTTGAGCGTACAAACAACCTGCAGATGATCAGATGTGCCAAGAGGAGCTGCGTGGTCGACTGAGAGGACATGTCGGGGTTTGTTGGTTACCAACAAGTCAAGACATGAGTTGGCACCCGATGATGAAGTGTATGTTGGGAAACTCACTACTTGTTGGAGCCCAAGCATTGAAAAAACTGTCTGTAGGTTGGTACCGGCTGTAGAGGTGGAGTCAGAAGAGCACCAATCATTATGTTTGGCATTAAAATCCCCCGTCAGGAAGAAGTCACACTCGTCATAGCAAGAGGACTGTATAGCATCGACCAGCATATCCGAGAAGAAGGACAATTGTTCCGCCGTTTGGGAAGGGGGTCCATACATGCAACATACAAGAATAGGGTTAGGGGTGCATTGGGACTTAACTTCCACCCAGGCAGATTCACAGCCCTGACGCTGCAGGTCGGGTCTGTGGAGAATATGTTGAAAAGCATCAGTCCGGACAAGCACGGCGACACCACCATATCCTCTAGTGAAAGAGTGTGCATTTCTGTTCTCGTGTGCTGGTCTGTCTCTTCTGAAACAGGAATAGCCCGGTACATGCACGGAAACAGATGGGCACAGCCAGGTCTCCGTGAGGCAAACAATACTTGGCTTAGTGCTCTCCAGAACAATCGAATGTTCAACTAATTTATTGACGAGAGACCGGCAATTCATGGTTATCAGCATTAGGTCGGATTCTGATCTGGGGTAGAATGGGGTAGCATGCAAGTTGAGGGAAGGCATAGACAACATGATTATGACGAGGAACTATCACCACCACGTTCAGTCACGTTGGTACCGTCGGCAAAGCGCCACTTACGGACGGTGTGGCTAATTGTTGCCGGCCAAAATCCTGCACTGAGTATTTTGCCTTCATCCGTCGCTAGGACAGTCAGTCGTGCATATGCTGTGCCAAAGGTCCGGGATTCGTTAATACTGCAATTGAGCACCTCAACCTCACGGTCCTTGCACCAGTCAGTGATTGCGTTAGCGCTACACTCCATGTGGACATTGCCCACGTAGAACACAGATTTCGCGACTTTTTCTACGCCTGTGAGGATGTTGGGGTTAGCTGGGGCCACAGGCTTCACGTACCGGGACGTGACCCGACGACGTACAACTTCGGCCCAGCCATCCGAACTGCTTCCCGTATATTCACTTGTACTAGTTGTAGCCAATGTTGATCTGGTTGGTGCAGCCGGTGGTGTTTCAGTGCGTGATGAGGTCTGGTGTACATGTGTCGATGTTTGGGAAGTGCGGGTACGGTTGGTAGAGTGTGCGTTAGGGGAGGCCGAGTGACGGTTTCCCTCACCCCAGCCCCTGTACTACCTGAACTAGCTACACTACTGTACGTTGTACTCGGGGTTGTAGATTATGCAATCAGGTTTGGACTCCCGCCTTCCTCAAGGTGTATCATCTTCGCCACGAGGCCATCAATGGTTGCTTTCATTTCTCTAACTTCCCTATCTCTGTCCTCCCTGAGGGAGACCATTTCCACAGTTAATGCAGTGATAGTCGAGGACAGTGCACTGATAGAGCTCACTAGCTCTGGCATACCTGATTTGCCGATGTCCATGGCGCGAAGTTGAAGTACAAGGTCCGGTCGGGCCAACGAGTCCACACCTGCAAGTCCTGACTTTTTGGCCAAGTCACGAATCTCCCCATCCAGCAGCAAGGCCAGGTCCATATTTGAGTTCTCCACCATATTAGGGCTGGGACTAGTTCCAGGTCCACCTATACTTACAAAAGTGGCCGAAAGGCTTTTCCATAGATGGAAAGGCAGGAGCTAAAAACTTGCTTCCTACTCCTACGACTTTAGTTTCGAAGAGTTTGGAATAGCTACGTCACGTAGTACGTGGAGATGGTCGATCTGATCGGACGTCGTCATCGCCATGACAATTCCACTGAAAAACTCTAAAATGATAGAAACCGTTCTAATGGGACACTTCAACTAATCTCTTTATACTTCGAAGTACAATTTGTTAGAACAGTTGATGAAGACAATTCGAACGCGCCCTAGATCTACCTAAGCTACAGTACTAAAATGCACTGCTGACAGTCGTACTCGTAGATCTGCTGTATAAGTACAAATTTGAACGAAATCTTTCGTTACATTACTCCACCAGCAGGCTTGTTACGTACTAAATTTCGTTTTTGATCGAGTTCTGTCACACGAAACGTTCAGAAAAAAAGGTTAGTTTGGTACAAACTTTCATTTTTTCGTGCCCCATAACGGATATAGCGAAAGTTACTTTCCAACGAAATGATGTACTTATACAGTACTAGTACTATACTAGACTAGGTAACTGCAGCCAGTAATAGGTAACTGCAGCCAGTAAGTACACGCTGCGTTCGCACATGACACGTTATCTACAGTATAGACTCTACATGCAACGTGGAATCAGCTCCCGCCTACCCTTCTGCAGTCCCCCCCCCCTTCTCGCAGAGGTATGCACACCTTCAAGAAAGATATCAACGACCACTTGCGGCGCAGCAAGTGGGAGTGGGCCACAGACAAGTTATGATCTCTCCATCGCAGCCAACACACCAGCCTAATTATACTGACCGCACTCCAGCTCCCTTCTACCCCTCTTTGATCCCCTTCGCTCAGCCTAAATATGCGATTATCAGTTCTCTCCATCTTCCTACGGTACACTGCTTTTACTATCGTTATGTCCTATCTCAATCTCAAGTTCTCCCCATTATCGTTTGCAAAGCCGGTGCTTACCTCTTGGATGCACATGTTTCTTTTCTCCTATGTATCAGCGCACAGGAGTAACGATGATTCCGAGAAATTTGGTCGGAGGAGTTACTTTTTCCCCGCCCCCACTTCCATCCAATATGCCACCGCCCCCGCTGTGCAGCATCTGATGGTTCTGTGGTATTCATTAAAAAAAAACAAAAAAAACCAACGACAACATGTGTGCTAGATAAAATCACAGACCTAAAGCTGTGAAGCACTGGTGAACTTCCCGGGGTTTAGTGCAGACTACAGGTATCTGGCGCCCAGGACTTGCTGCGCCCTTGACAGGTTGCCCTGGAAGTGGATCAAGTGGTTCCGTGCACAAGTGCATATACAGTGATGTAATCCGAACCATTCTTGATCGGAACTCATTTGAAGAACAAGATGTACATTTCTATCGTTGAGAAAGTAAAATTCCGAAAACAGGAAAAGGGTAACAAGACTGCTGACATGATTGGACCGACTGCAAGCTACAGCTGCCCGATCCTACCTGATGTGTAACACCCAACAGTTCCCTACTTGGACAACAGCCAAGAATATTCTGAATCATCTTTGTGACTGGGAATCGCTCCAATGGCGTCGTCAAATTCTTTCTCTAGTTTATTTTTCATCATGTATTCTACCAAATACCATCCCTACTGAGCCAGTTTAGCCTCACCATATCCAGCAGCTGCCGCCACCCTTCCTCTATCGTTTTGCCTTGTTCTGGAATCCATTTCTTTAAATCTCCTCTTTTCGGTCTATCTGTTGTCTGGAACAAGCTCCCTGAGAGCCTTCGTAGGGAGCGATCTTCTGCTAAGTTTCGGTTTCTCATAAAGGACCATTATTTAAAGTATAAATTCTCCACAACTGGGATTCCTGGTTTTCATATCTAGTGCTCGTCATGTATTCTGTTTCTCCCTGGTGTGTTTTATCTGTAGTTTTCCTTGAGCAGTGGGCCTGTTACGTATTTTCCCTAGTCCCTTTTCACTTCCCTTCCGTCTCATCCACCCTTCCAGGAAACTCCCCCGATCAGTATCCATTAACCTTTGGAGAATCCTTCAAATAGAGTCTAAATGAAGTCTGAATGAATGATCTTAGACAAATAACAGTAGGGGGATCTTACGACAACGGCATAAGGTCATGTGAGACGAAAATGATCTCAACGACGATGGTGACAAGCCAAGGGGAACATCTTGGGTAATACTTTGGATCGCACTGATCATACTCTTGTATCCACATCACTTATTTGTTTTCAGCAGAGGGCTGGGCTGGGCTAGCACAAAGTATAAGCTATCACGACGAACACCGTAAACAGTTGTATGAAATGAACACTGCACATATCATTGACCATGATGGCCAATACAACAATCGAGCTAATTCGGATCTGAATGTTGAGAAAGCAAACAGCATCAGACTGATGATAGGATGCCTAGCAGACTGGTGACCGGGGTTTGTGAATGGTCCAACAGCATATTGGCATCTTGGATATGTTGTTAGTAAACTAGCAGGCCTCGAACCTCAACAGGCAACAGAGATTACTCGCTGGTAGCTCTGAGAAGGAGGTCATTTACCAAATTTCTTGGTGTAGCCACAGAGTGCCAGAGCAAAGGCCTGGTATGGGCATAATGGGTAGCTAAAATCCAGCGCAAACTGAACGCTGGAAGTACGTCCAAATTGCAAGACGATATACTCAGCTGAAGAACACAAGAACACATGAACATGGTGGACAACAGCAACTGAAGCAGCAATCAGAATGATGACAGAAATAACAATGATTATAATAGTATTATCATTGACAGCTATGATGATGATTTGACAGCAGCAGCAGCCGCAATAGCAGTAGCACCAGTAGAACCACCAGCACC